AGATTACACGTTGTTCATTTCGAATTCTTTGAGATTTCTAGGATTTTTTGGGGGCCAGGACCCTTTCATTTCTAATTGTTCCATCCTGGGCCTCTTCCTGGCCACTAGGGGGCCAGGAGCACTTAGAAACGAGCACAGTCAGAAATGAGCACGACTAGATATGAACGACGTGTAGTGAGGCCGTTAATGAGAGCTACCACCAGACATTGTCGATGGGAGGGCGCTGTACGCCCCACGCAGAAAAGGGTGGCATGCACGACAGCGCAGCGCCAGCCAGGAGAGGCGCAGGCAGGGGGAGCCTGCACAGCGCGACCGCCTCGCACCGATGGGGGCGTCGGTCACGGGGTTGCGCGTGGTCACGTCGAGAGTCTTTTTGGCAGGATCGGAGGGAACGAGGAGGAGAGGGGGAGGCGAAGAGGAGGAGGAGGAGAAGGAGGATGGGGAGGAGGAAAAAGAGGAGGAGGAGGAGGAGGAGGAGGAGGAGGAGGAGGAGGAGGAGGAGGAGGAGGAGGAGGAGGAGGAGGAGGAGGAAGAGGAGGAGGAGGAGGAGGAGGAACGAGCAAAAGGGTGAGGAGGGGGAGAAGGAGGGGGCAGAAGGGGCACGATGCCGTCGGGTTGCTGCTGGTCCTGGATAAGAGCGCGCTGCTCCGTGGTGGCCCGGTGTCCTGTCTTGGCGCAGTGGCCCAGCCTTGCAATCCCTTGTTTAAGCCGGGCGTGTCCCTCTACAGGAGGAATATTGAAAATTAGTCAAAAGATAGTCTGGGGACGATTTTGTGACTTTTGGGTAGCTCCAGACTATTTTTCGTTTTTCGTCCAAAATCCGCCTGTAGAGTTATGATGTTCCAACCTACTCTAGCCTGGATCACCAGAAATAATTTCGAGCACCACGAAAGTACCGAAACTGGAGGCTTTTCGCGCGTCGGGCCCCGGGAGGCGATACTCTTTCGACACTCTTTCGACACCGTCTGGGTGCTCGAGATTATTTCTGGGATGTGGTCCTTAAGTACGACGGGAACAGCATAACTGTAGGGGGACATGCCCCACCTAATCCCTTATGTGTTTATGTGTGCCCACGGCCGTGCTGCGCGGCGTGCCAGCCCGGGGCGTTCCGCAGCCTGCCTACACGCACGGCGAGCTGTCCTGCCCTGTCGTGCTCGCGGCAAGCGCCTGGTGCACGTGGTGCGCTGGCCAAGACCTCGGTCGCTCGGGATCAGGGACTCAAGTGAGGAAAAACCGCCGGACCGGACAATTGGCGTTTACTAAACGGCCTTGGGCTTCTACAAAACAGCCCTGCCCTGTTCGATTCCTTCAGTGGGGGCGTTTAGTAAACGGCTTCGCGTGTCGGAGTGGTTATTATGGGGGTGGATATTTTTGCCTTCTAAATGCGGTGGAGGCGCTTGCTAAGGAATGATCACAGGAGGCGCCGGACCCTGGAGGAGTCCTTGTCCGATGAGGGCGGCGGTGATGTCCATGGCCGATCTGCGACTGGAGTTCCGCTGGCTTCCAGGCCCTCGATTCCTGATCTGAGGGCTCCGCCCCTGGAGGCGGTGGCGCGCGCCTTCGGCTTCGGCGAGCTCGCACTGGCGCGGGCCAGGGGCCGGGCGGCGCGGGACGTGCGGGCGGCGGCGGCCGCGGCCCGCGAGCGCGGCCAGCGCCCGCGCCCTCGAATCCTGAGGCAGGGCTGGACCGAAACGGTGTTTTGGCGATTTCGTGGGCCGTTTTCGTTTCGACTTCGTTTTGCGGTAGGGGTGGATTCAAGGCAAAACGAGGGAAAACGAAAACAAAACGAAAGCGAAAAACACCGTTTAGGTTCAGCCCTGTCCTGAGGCCTGCACGGGCCCCGTGGGGCTCTTGAAGAGGAGCAGGAAGCATGCCCACGCCCTAGGGGCTGCCGTGGTCGGCGTTCTTTGGGGGCGGGGGGTCGCGCCGAGCTGGGCGGGAGGTCTGGGGCCCAGGAGAGGGGCCCCGGCCTCTGGGGCCTCCGGCGCGCGCCCCTGGCGCGAGTAGCGCCGACGCCGGCAGCCTCTGATGCCCGCGTGCACACACACATACACACACACGCGTCGTAGCTCAAGGCTCGACTACACGCAGGAGTGACCTTTCGCCAGAGTGGCCCTTGGTGCGGGCCCAACGGGGTCCCCGGATCGCCGAGCGCGATGCGGGGTGGTGGCGTCTTGCGCGCGCGTGGTTGGTCCCCCCCGCGGGCCCCCACACAAAGCCGCGCACCACAGGGCACTCTTTTCCCAGGGTCGCTCCTTGCGTGCAGTCGCAGGGCGCGTGGAGAAGTTGGCCAAGAAAGTGGGGTGCAGAGGCTCGCCTGGCCCCGTTGATAGAGAGAGAGAGAGCTCTCCCGAGAGCCAGGCCTCGGCGGCTGGAGGTCTGCGTCAACGGCACGCTCGCCTTCGGCATCGCGCCGCCCGAGGAGGGCCACAAGAGGCGGGACGTCCCCGAGGACGTCTCCGTGGCCCTGCGGCCCGGGGAGAACCGCGTCAGCGTCCAGGCGCGCGCTCTCCTCCGGCTTCTCGGGCGTTCTCGCTGGCTTCTGGCGGGCTTTCTTGCCTCGGGATGCGCTCCAGCGGCCGCGCCTCGCCGAGAGCATCCCAGGGGTACATATCCGAGTCATCCCGAGCGGCCGCCCAAGGCTTCAGGTAAGGGCCGAAGCCCAAGGAGGGAGGGAGTCCGTTCCTTTTTGTCGCGGCGACCTGGGTCCAAGACGTGCTCGGGGCAGCCGAAGGACGCTTCGGGGCCAAATCGGGCACGACGGGAGCAGGAAATGCGCGGAGGGGGGAGAGGAAGCCGAGGTCGGCGGAGCAAGCTCAGAGCGCGTGAAGCTCTTGTGCGTGTGTGCCGCAGCGCAGGCTTGCACGGGTAGTGAACCAGGGAGTGCAATGGCGGGACGAAGGGGCGCGGTATTCCGAGGTCACCACGCACACAAGTCATGCGAAGCGCAGTCCAGGATGAAAGGAAGAGGAGGAGGAGGAGGAGGAGGAGGAGGAGGAGGAGGAGGAGGAGGAGGCGGAGGAGGAGGAGGCGGAGGAGGCGGAGGAGGCGGAGGAGGAGGAGGAGGAGGAGGCGGAGGAGGTGACCCATGAGAGTGACCCTTCACCAGGGCGGCCCTCGGTGTGCGGCGGCCGGCGCCCGGGCGCCGAAGGGGCACGAGGGAGCGGGGGCGCAGGCCGCACACCCGGCGCACCGCACGGCGGCGGTCGGCAGGGGCCGCGCGCCAGAGGTCCTGCCTGCCCAGAGTCGCTCCTGCGTGTGCCGTGGAGGCGTCCGGAGCCTCGCCTCCGGCTCCTCCTCCTCCTCCTCCTCCTCCTCCTCCTCCTCCTCCTCCTCCTCCTCTCCTCCTCCTCCCTCCTCCTCCTCCTCCTCCTCCTCCTCCTCCTCCTCCTCCTCCTCCTCCTCCTCCTCCTCCTCCTCCTCCTCGCCTCCGGCTCCTGTCCAAGGCGTTCCTTTTCCCGTGCAAGCTCCTCGGCACGGCCCGCCCTCCGGCCGCCTGAGGCCCCGCCCGCCTGTGCTCTGTCTCCCAATTAGAGCTTTGCGTAGCCCGCCTAGCTTTTAACCGGAAGAGGTTCGCTCTCGACCCGCAGACACAAAAAGTGTGCCGTGGAGGCCCGTGCCAAGGAACGCCCTGCTTGCCTCCGGGGTGCCCTGGGTTTTTCTTGCGCTTCGATGGCTTCTCTGCGAGGAGCGTGGCTCACCCAAGAACCAAAGTGGACGTTATGACTTGGAAATGATGGGAATCGCGATTGTGGCTCATTGAGTGTTGTTTTTCGAGGAAAATCGTGTTTCCCATAATTCGCAGGGCTTCGTGCTTCGATGGCTTCTCTGCGAGGAGCGTGGCGCTCCCTCACCCAAGAACTAAAGTGGACGTCCTGGGGTCTCTGGGCTGGGTTTCTCGTGGAAGGCTCTCTGTGGTCGGGCTCCTACTGTACCCAGGGGGAGAGCGGGAATCCTGTTCTGCGCCCTCTTCGGCGCCTGAGAGGCCGCCTGCGCGCCGCTCCGTCGGCGGCATCGGGCCCTTCCCGACTCCTCCTCCGCGGCCGCCCTCTTCTCTCCCGCCTCCCCCTGCCGTCAGCGAGCCCCCGCGCCCGCGTGCGCAGGCGCCGCTGATTAGAAAGGGCCCGAGGGGGGGTGCCGTGCCCAGACCTCCAAGCGTCGCGAGCACGAAACACACACGGCGGGCGTTGCCCTGCGTTTCAAGCCGCGCGACCCGCGACGAGAAAAATCGGCATTGCGGATGTGCAGCTCCGGGGCCGGGCCGCGGCCGTGCCTCGCATGCTCCTGCGTGGAGTGCTCAGTGCCGCTGCCCTGGTGGGTGGCGTGCATGGTCCACCCAGCGGGGATGCGCGGGTCGTCGTCGCCGCCACTGGTCGCCGCCGCCTTTCCATCGTCGTGCTGCTGCTTTCGAAGACGGAAAACCGCGATGGGAGCCATGTGATTGGCGCGGTCGAAGGGCCGACGCTACGCTCCCATTTCCGTGTGTCCCGCGCCACAGCCAGAGGCTTGGCGGCGGGGCGCGCAGCCCCCGTTGGCCGCGACTGCGGCGGCCAAAGCAACCCAGGAATCCAGAGAGGCAAAAGGAAGCGTAAAGACAGAAATTTTTGGCGCTCCGCGTGGACCATCGAAAGTTTGTGCTTCTGCCGTTTTCTGTTCCTCTATGCTTCTGCTCCTCCAGCTCCCCCTGGCTCTCGCACCTGTTGCTGGGCACACTCCCGCATCGCCGGGGGCGCTTCGACAGGCCCGCGGCGCGCCGCGGAAAGGGCGCGGAAGGTGGAGTTCGCAGGCTCTGGGTGAACGGCATTGGGGAACGAACAATGACATAAACATAAAAACATAGTAAGTAATGATATCAAAAATGACATGAACATGACGAGGACGAACAAACAGACACAACGAGAACGAACAATGACATAAACATAACAACTCGGAGGTCCGCGCGGATTTCTTGGATCGGCGCTGGGGCGCCCTGGCGGCGCCTCCGGCGCCGCCCCTGGCGCGCTCCGCGCGCCAGGGAGGGGGGTCGAGCGCCGATCCGAAAGATCCGCGCGGACCTCCGAGTTTTTATGTTTGTGTCAGTGTTCGCTCCCCTAGAACAACAGACACCCGTCGTGGTGCCCAGGCTTGTGCTAGCGGCGGCGGGATGCCCTGCGACCGCTCCGAGGAGGCAAGGTAATCAGTGGGATGTCTGTGCCTTCGGATGGATTGGACTGCCGCCCCGCCTCCTGACAGGGAGGAGGAGCTGGAGGAGGAGGAGGAGGAAGAGGAGGAGGAGGAGGAGGAGGAGGAGGAGGAGGAGGAGGAGGAGGAGGAGGTAAGGGGATGGCGGAGGGAAGGGTCTCCTCCTCAGAAGTCGCTGCAACCAGTAATCCTTTTCACTACGTGGAGTTCCTCCGTGAAATACGAGCACCTCATGGGCTTGTCAATCAGGCAAGAGGCCGTTTTGGAAAAGAGCGGCCTTCCAACCCATGCAGCTACAAGACACGTGGATCTGTAACGCTGCAGAATTTGGAAGGACGTGTTCATCGAGAGCCCCATTTCAAGTTAAATTTGGCCTTGGCGGGTGTTTATTGCATAATTTAGTATTTTTTGCATTAGCAATGCCTGAGCCTCAAGCGACCGCTCCATTTCGAAAACCAGCTTCGCCACATCATCCCGTGCATATGTTGTAAGCATTTAGCAATCATGTGCGCGGCGCTGCAGCGACCGCTACTTCTCCAAAGCGTTCTCATCTTTACCTGTCAGTGTGTAAGGAGCTCGTGAGACGAAAGTAATTGGCGAAACGGCGAGCGCCATCTTTTGGAAGTTACCTCGGCCCACTCGTGTAACTGTTGGGTGCAGGGCGCAAAGGCGAGAGCCTCATTTTGCAAATGGCCTGCCCTCCATCCGTGTAGCTGCTGGATTTCCCAAAATATTGTAATTCTTGATGCTTCGCTTGTCCCCACCAGCCCCATCCAGCAACGCTGCCCAGGCGAATTACATTGATCAGGGACGTGTAGGAACACGCATTGGAACAAAGAGGGCGGCAGCCGTCAAGCCGAAGATCGGGATCAGCTCGCGCAAGCCCAGGAAAATCATACATGCCTTCGCGGATCTGTCGATGCTTACTCGGGCCATCTGGGGTCCCTCTTCGGACAGTTGGGGTCATTTTGGAAGTATTTGGCTCTCTTGAGGGCGACTCGGTTTCCGGACGTTCCCGTGAATTTTTGCTTGTTTTTTTCTGTGTGGCTCGTTCTTCTGCAAATCTTTTCGAAAACCAGAAACTTGGAATCAACGTGTGAATGCCTTACCATCGGGATCAGTCTGTAAACCACCCGCAGAAATTCTATTGTAAAGCCGCAGAGCAGGATTCTACTTGTAATCGGCACACTGGGGATCAATATGTGAATCCCCCACCATCGTATTGTACAGCCCCACAGAAGAATTTCATTTGTGATTCGCACACTAATGAGTAAATGTCTGAATCATTGCCCACAAAAGCAATTTTTATTGTAAAGTCGCCGAAGAAGGTTTTGATTGTAACGCACACACACGCAGTAGGAATCCACCAAATAAGCAATCCTTTTGTAAAGCCGCGCGAAAATATTTGTCTTGTAAACCGGGCGATAGGAATCGACATGTAAATCCCCACAGAAGGAGTCGAACACAGTAATAATCAGTGTGTACATCTTCCACGGAAGGACTTGCTTTGAAGAAGAGCCGGCAAATGTGTGGGAGGAGGCCAAACAAACAACACACAACAACACTGTTTTTTGTTTCTTTTGTTCTGGCGGGGTGGGTGGGTGGGACAGAAAGAACACCAACACACGGTTCTCAGTTTTTATGTTTTTTTTGAGGGGGAGGGACTCCTCCCAAATTCTTTCAGGATCCCATTCAGTGGGCGATTTCCACATTGATTCCTCTTGCGTGAAGTACACGTAGAATCCTGTGGCAGGGCTGTATCATAGGATCCCTTGTGAGGGCGACTTACACATTGATTCTTATTTCCAATGTACAGATGAATCATTTTGTGGGGGCTGTACACTGGATGTCTTTGAGAGAACGCCAGCGTATGTCAAAAACCCAAGGCAGATAACTCAATTTCGCCTGTTGTGGCCCTCTTGGTGAGTGTGCTCTGGAAGGCCTCTTCGAGCGCCTTGGCAGCCGCTCGGGCTGTGAGGAGGCCATCTTTGGCGTCTTGGACCTCTCGTTCGGCGATTCGGGGCCCTCTTGGACCGTCTTTGGGAAGTCTTGGGCTGTCTTGTGGCCTTGTTGGGCCCCAGAACCCCCCTTTGGGAGGATGATTCTTGCCTCCCTTCCCCCTAATTAGATGGGCAGTGCCAGTTACATGTGGCAGGCAGGGAAGCTATACCCCCCAAGTGGGGTACGATCAAAGACGACGAGGGTGGGTATCGAGGGTTTGAGAGGAACATGTTGGATGACACGAGATCAGAAAAGAACGAGCAGTCTGAAACTGATTGTGATAGTGGTGATTTTTCATTTCTGAAGAATAATTATTGT